GAGCCTCTGTCTTGGCAAGCCCGAGCTCCTTAGTTTCAATAGCGATAGCGTGGATAGGCAATTGCGTGAGGCGTGGCGAGATGAGCGGGGCCTGTATCAGGGACGCTTTTGAAGCTTATGCTGGAGTACCGATAGCTTTGGCGATAATATCAGAGGGACTCGTAACTTTGAGTTGCAGCGACGAATCCAACCGTAGCTCACGCAATTAGCGATGTCTGGAATAACTTTAAAACTTTCTTTAATTTTGTTTGGAAAATGGCCAGAGACAGTATTTGTGGAGTGGCAAAATATATTGGAAGTTCAATAGGAGAAGGTATGGTATCTAAATTTGTAGACAGCCTGCCAAGCTGGTGCAGGAGTAAGGCTGATAACTTGGTGTTGGACGAAGAATTTGCCATGTCTAGGACAGAACCCGCTGCTATAAATTCTTGGTTCTTGAGCAGAGTTGGTCAGGGAGATCTTAGTCTAATAGAGAGACTGCACTACTCGCGGCCGATCTGAAATATACGTCAGAAGTGCCCTTTGAGTTCTTTTGTGTGACAGTTGAAGATTTAAGGGCAATAGTCCAATGTTTCGCGTCTGAGGTAGACATATCGACCTTTGGATTGTCTTTGAGACGAGGTGATTGTAACGTGGACATAGAATTATCATACAATGACAGTGTTGCGGTCCACTTCGTTCATGTTGCTAAGTCAATGCTGAATTTTAGCTTCTTACTGGTCAGTCGACCTAGTGGAAGTGGTAGTATATGCTACGTCTTGGCATATCGAGTGCCTGGTGGGCTGTTGGACACTATCTTTATCAAGTTGGCATGTTTGCATCCAGCAATAAGAGCTGTGTCTGGACCTTATGAGGACCTAGCGCCTCTTGATTTAGTGGTAGAGACAAATGATGTGTGTAGATGGGACGAGCATGGTATACGGCCAGCATGGCATCGCATGATAACTGCAGCTTTGGTTGGTGTAATGGATCGAGCTGCTAATTTATTCGGTTTGATCTCTAAGATAAAAGAGAATGAATTCGATCTAGGCATAATACCAGCAGAATGGTGTAATAAGCCTAATGAACTAACTGGAGAAGAGTGGTTAGCATATCAATGGTTAATATGGTCACATTATGAAAGCGGAACTATGAGGTGGCGTCAGCTTGGATCGGGGCCTGGATGCTAGTGATCAATGGGTTCATGCGGCTTGGTGGGCCGGCCTAAACGTGTATTACACACTAAACGATTCCATATACTTATGTACAATTGGTGGTTATTGCCAGTGTAGCATTTTAATTAAGGCTGACAGTGGAGAAAGATGTAGTGTTTTGTTCACCTCTTGTGAGCGACACGCGAATGCATGGGAGATTAAACATTTTGATAAGTCAGATTGTCGTGCTTATTTACGACAAGGTAGGCCTGATGTCGAGATCACCACCAAGTTGAATGCCGTGTTGAACAAGTGGTATGAAGAAAATCCCTGGCGCCGAACATTAAGCGCCAAACAAGGGGTGGTAGTAGCTAAGAGACATTGGGTTCCAAGCATAAGTGAGTTTTTACATGAAAACCAATAATATCAGCGAGGCTAAGAATTTCTTAGATGAATGGAACACCTCTATTGTCGCAGAGGCGATATCCAGAGAAAGGAAACTATTAGATGATAAGATCGTTGATGCTCCTGAGGTTGAAGCCGTTGAAGAAACAGCTATTCCGTCAGGGTTGTATCATTTCCTCCTGGGTTACAATAGACCTTGCGTGACGATAGCACCGAGGTGGGACTGGCTTACTTGGGATAAGAGCCAGTCACCGCGAGATCATTTGACTGTTGGTGACGTCATACGCGATGGAAAGATAACCGACAAGATGGCTGCCAAACTCAATAAGGCGGCTTGGGCGAGTTATGAAAAATTGGGAAGAGTAGCTTTGCCTAAGCGTACTAGCGAGGGAGCCGCATATGTAAGTCGCGGAGGTTTTAAAATGCAGCAGCTGCACGAAGCAGACCCGCAATTCTTCGAAGACGTCAAGACTATCCTTGACCCGTGTTCTGGCTACGGCGGATTTGCGGAGTATTATAGTACTGCACTTGCTGGCAAGGCTCCTAAGGTTTACATTATGTCCTCGTTGTTTGAAAAGGGACATCGAATTCCATCCGGTGAGCTTAGGCAAACCACACGAAGTAATGTGGACATACTGCTAGCTACTACGGTTCAACATGCAGATAAAGGAAATATTAAGGACCCTCGATGTAGTGCAAAGTTGAAACACCTAGCTGGTAGATCTGGTGGTGTGGATTTGCTCATTATAGATGCAGGAGAGTATAGTGTGGATGGTGTCAGCAACTTTAAATTTTGGTACAAAAAAGGGAAAAATCGCATAAGTTTTTATGACGCAGTGGTTAACTTGTTGACTGAGATCAAACTAGGTGGTAAAGCATGTGTCAAGATTAATGGAGTATGGCATGGTGTGGAACAATTAGTCCATACCTTGTCAAAGCACTTCACTAAAATCAAAGCAATTAAGTTGGGCACGACCGGGCTATCTAGTCCTGAATGGTACTTACTTATGCAAGGGAAGAAAGACAGAGAGGTCGATATTAGAAGAGCTGTAGAGCTGGTAGGAGCAATATGTGACGAACAGTATTACCACTACATGCTAATGCAGCAGATTTTGAGGGTTAAGGGCCGTGGTTGGAGAGTGCAGAAGAGACATGATTGGTTTATTCCCGGGTTTCGGCACCAAAAAATATGTTGAAAACGTAAGGCAAATAAGAGAAACACAATTGTACTGGGATTAATTAAATGTATTTATTAACAACACAAGTATACAATTCGAAACAAAATAACAACAGGAATAATATGTACAATAATATACTAAATACACGAACACTAATAAACAATTTCGAATAATATATATGTTAAATAATACGAATTAATTTGGAAAATAAATAATAATCGACAAAAATAAGGAACGTGAAATCACAATAAACTAATTAACAAAGAAATTAGTTTTGGAAAATGATTTTAACAATAATTTCAATGAGGCGAGGCAAGGGCGTAAGTACGATCGAATTGCGAGGCGGCTATCGAGCGAAAGAATGATAAGCGCGACTCGATCCGTAGCGGCACGGACCCCGCTGAGTCACGTGGTCCTACCCCCACTACGGACGATATCGATCCGA